ATGCAGATCTTCGGATATGAAGCTATTAAAACACTTGGTCCCCGCCGCTATCGATTCCTTTTTTCCGTTAGCTCTTGGATCAAATCCAAGTCGCTTTATTTCGTGTGAAGTAGCGTCCTCAGCTGATTCACCAATTTGCCCGAAATTGTTGTTTTATTTGCGACGATTCGCATCCAGACTTGTTTGTCGATTGTAAAGCTCCAGTCGGACGTCGTATCCATTTCGGTACCTCGAGGACCACATTTTCATAACGAGATAAGTAATAAGCAACTTCCTAACTCGCTCCCTGTTGGCTTAACTCCTCCAGATTATTTGCCTCGAACAAGGTAGCAAATCCTAATTTACCACACGTTATTAACGCCGAGCAAACAAGTGCACGTCGTCTTCAAAAGTGCCGCAAATCCGAAATAGGTCTCGCGTTTTAATCGATTATCGCTCGCTGCGCCTACGAAGACGTTAATCCCAAAAAATGACAAATCTCAGTCAAAACAAGGATTAAACGCTCGCCCTCGAAAACCGTCGCAATCTCCACTTTTCAGACGACATTTTTGCCATTTTTCTGATGGTAAATGTTTGTTTTTATTATTACGTCAAATTCTTCGGAGCATCGGGATTTATTATAAAGCTGGAAAATTTGAGAGCGGGATTAAGACCCTCGTCATTATGGAAAATCCACCCTCCGCAAATCGATAACGTTGGAGATAATATGTAATTTTTGGTAAGGGAGGAAACAATAATCTCGTCGTGGATATAAAAGGAATGATACGTTCGCAAAATGTGCGGCTTTTTTATTTGGCGAATCAAGAGTATGTGTACCGAAATGAAAAGCTGCAATACTGAAAAGTCTCTCTGAAAGAACGAAACTTTACACAAAATCCTGCACACGTCTGGTTTTAAAGCTTTTATTGCTTTTTTCATTTTTCCTTCTTTGTTTTCATTTTATACCACTTCTGCATACTAGGTGCTTCTAGTTTCTTGATCTAATAACGCTATTCACTCAGGTTCATGACTAATCGCTGCGGTTCTAACAATTCTTTTTGTCTTCATTACAGTCAACATGATTTGCACTTTTTTATATTTTTTGTTTTCGTTCGGAGGTCGGGTTGGTCAGGTCAGATCAAGTCAAGTCAGAAATAGCCAGATCAGCTCAGGTAAAGTCAGATCAAGTACGATCATATCTGATCATATCAAGTCAGATCACTAATACTCTTCTTGTGCTGCTTGAATCCACTCCAAATTAACTCTTTTTGGCCTCGAACACTACTTAGACCACTTGCATAGTACCGGCGAACTTTGTTTTGCATATGGTTTAATGCTCACTGACGGCAAGTTGTACCGTGTGTAAGAGGCCTTAGCCACGTCGCATTTCAGAACACTTCCGTTTCTCGACTCATCTACAACCAGAACGTTCTCTGTGTGTTTTAAGATAAGTGCATTTTCGTCCATTCCGTTCGTTCCTCCCATTTTTTCTCAGAATTGCAAGCCACACAAAAATAATGTAAAGTGCGGTAAGGAAAAAACAATTTCTGCGCCTACAACTCACAATGACATTCTGTTCTCCGATCACGATTTTGTTCTCTAAAATTCGCCAGTACGTGTGCAAATATTTTTTTTTCAATCGGTTTTCATTCCTTTGTATCAAAGAGAAAAAGACGCTTCACTCTGCAAATGATAAAAGTTTGATCCTAGCTAAACCCAAACGAATAACCGTTTATGGCTGTGTTCGCATGAGATCAACAGCTGTCGAGCACGATCGCAGGCCACAAGCGGTAACCGTTGTAGACGAAAGTCGCGCTATCCTTGCTTCTTTCTATTGTTTCATTTTAAAATATAACAGGTCTTTGTTTTTCATTTTTTGCCGAGTATGCCACACCCATGGAAAATTTATAACATAAATAAATAGTATTTATCGTATTACTGATACCTGTGTACAACGTAACCGAACGGTCCAATTAGTCCGAATTGTAAACCGTTTAGCTATAAAACCCAGGCAGTGTTTGCGTATGCAACCAGTTAAACAAACATGTGTATCCGGCTGTAGCAACAGTTGAAAAAGCGGCTTTTCGCTGTTCTGGGTCGTCAAATCTGCACAATGTATCGAAGGATATTAACAATCTGGAATTATTCAGAGACCTCCATAAAAATAAATCCCTTTTAACCCAGAGCATCGGCCATGTCACAAAAATCAATAATAAAGACACGTCCCGCGTTTTATGGCATTTAAAATGAGCGGGTGGGGAACGGAAAATTTGAATATACATAGACGTTTTATGAGTAGTAAAACCTTCGTTGAAAGGTAAGTAGAGATTATGTTCGGCACTCAGTGAATATGTTTATGGCATTTGCAACATTAAAATACACATCTTATAAAACAGCGGGGGCTATTTTGTGGAGGATGCATTAACCGGAGTGTATGGAAGCATTCAGCGGAAAAATCCACAATTTACGGGTCGAAGCAATGACGCAGCGAAGGTCTTCTTCGGGGAAAGGCGATCATTAAAAAGATATTTCCATTCTCCGAGTGACGGTTGGAGCAAGTGGACACATTTTTACTCTAGCTATATTCCAGACATACTTTGAATTTTATTTTGGCTGATAACGCCACCAAAGTTATAACTCCGTGGATATTTTTTCGCGCCGTTCGATGAAGGGTTGTTTTTATTAGTCGCTGGAGGCAATTTTCGCTCAAACTCCACTAAAAGAGCCCCGTTTTCCGGATTTTTTGTGCGTTAAGGAGACGCAATTCGATGCCGGCACGTTTTATTTCTTGCGAAAGTCGCAATTTATAATTCCGTTTGTTTTTTCGCGGAGGAGTAATATTTTTCGAGTGTAAGTACTCGTAGTGGGAACGGCGAATTCCAGCGGTTTACTATTAATAAAGCAAACAACGCAGCAAAAATGCAGCACAAAAAGTGGCGGGTTTAAATTGCGGTGGAAGACGCTCGGCGAATTTAAAAAGTTGAAACAGAATGCGAGATCTCGGAGCGGAATTAAGTTTATCTCGGCGTCGCGCAATATTTTAAGCAATTATGAAAATTTATTCGTAATTAAGTAAGTAGTTCTGCTGAAAACTACGAATATAAAGATGGGTCAGTAGATAAAACTTTATTATCGAGGAGTTGTTTGTTAGTTGCAATAAACTAACCGGATTTAAGAGAAGTGGAAACACGATATGGCCGAGTTCGAAATTTACTGCATTTTTGCTATTCTGCGTGAACGATGCAGAGCCCTCGTAAAAAGGCATTTAAACTCCTCAAACACAAAGGGAACGCTTGCGGATAAAAAATCGCGTCATCAAAAAATGCTTTAAAGACGCAAGAGAAACAAAAGTTTATAAAGTATACGTAATTTCCAACAATGACATTAAATTGCCGACTCTCAGACTGGAAGAATGATAAATAAGGCTGTTTGCTTGGGGTCGCACGTCGCCCGCAGTGACATCGACTTGGAGCACTCCGGCTGCATATACATTTATCTACGAGCGCGTAATGAGTGCCACTTCTAGCTGTTTCGAAATTAAACTCCAACTTTTACTTCTTATTACCCTCTACTTCTGCTCCCACTTTTCTGACAACAGTTCTTCTTAGCCCAATTACTCTCATTGAGCTCCGCTGGAATAGATTTTACGGCAATAATGCCCAAGATGGAGCAGACGAGGGTGGACGCGTGCCAAAATGCGGACGCTTCATATTTTACATAATTATATTCAATTGTCCAAAATCTTAATGTCGTCTAGCTCCCTAAAAAGGAAAATTTAAACAACGCGATTTACGGTCCTCGTTTTCCTTATATCACGAAATTTCATGACCCTATTTTCCACTAAAACTCTACAGAAAAGCATATTATAAGTCTACACAAATACGACGCTATCAAGGACTAGATTTTGAAACGCATTTTTCCAAAAAACCATAAACTCAGAACAGGATCACAGTTATTTGCGGTCATAACCTGACCTAACCTGCCTACTTAATCTAAATAAGTAAACGAAAAAATTGTCCTTACACAGATCCGTCACATTTTCCTTTATTTTTACTCCTCGTGAAACAATAGAGCACCCAAGTGGAGTGACTTTCCAGTTTCTCGTCCAAAACAAAAGCCATTAATACGTCAAAAGAAACCCAAAGAAAACACAAAATCAAGGATTACTATTTATTAAGTGCATCAGCTGCCGTATTCCAGCAGAACTTCAATTTACAGAGAATTTTCCGAGAGCTGAAAGTTAAATCAGCATCTCGTCAATAAAAATTCCTTCACAATACTTCATATTAAAGAAAGACAGTCCCTCTTTCGTCTGCCTATAGAGGAGAAGTTGATAAATGCAGCCGCCTCCGTTGTATTTATTTTCTCTATTTACAGTCCAATCGCATGCGCATTCCCTAGGATAGTTCGAAGCCCAGAAGCTAAAACATCCATCCGAGATTTAAATTCAATTTAACATCTCTTAGATTGCAAAGTTTTCACTCCGTTTAACTTCGCAACTCTCACATGAACTGTCTATCTAAGATTGCGAAAAATATTTCAATTTTAAATCTTCGGGCGAAACGGGCACCGAATTTAGACAATAGAGCACTTACAACTTTGACAAAATATTAAGAACTTCTTATTGGTGCTATCTATCTCTGTCAGGTGACACAGAACTCTGATCGATAAGGTTATTTATATTTCAGTAATTGCAGCTGCTTTTCTTTATATAGCAGTAATTCAAACATCCTCACTCAACCCAACTTCGACAAATTCAAACACCCACACTTAACCTCGCGAGAATCCCGCAGGAAAGTAGTCAAAAGCAGGAACAGCAGTAATGTTCACGTGAGCGCGAATGAAATATACCATATGAATAATTTAAGTCCTATTTGAAAATATAAACGGTGGTGCAGGAAAAGCTTGCTCCGGGCCAGCGTGTCTGATAGCAGGAATTATCTTGTTTTATTTCGCCCGGAGTGTCATAAAAACGACATTTCGAGCGGGAATTTTCTTTAATCCGAGGAATTCGTTTGCAGAGACAAGGATGCATTCACGGCGAGGAGCTGCCCTACTTGTTCGGGGCGCCGCTGGTCGGGGGATTCATGCACTTTGTAAGAAACTACACCAAGTCTGAAGTCCTGCTGGCCGAAACCACCATGATCTATTGGAGCAACTTTGCGAGAACAGGGTAAGGGACAACTTTGACTGCGGTTTACTTATGTGAAAGCTGGGAGATGTAGATTGCATGCTCCAGTGAGCGGCTTTTAATGGCCGGGGAGAAAAAATAGTTTCCTTTCGGGGAGGGCTAGTTCGGGGTGGGGAAAGGGCAGCGCATATCCTGAATGGGATAATTCTGAATTAAAAAGTTATTTCGTCAAAAAAACTTAAAACTCGCGCTAAATTTCAGCAATGGCTATTGGTTATTGAGGGTATTAAAAAAATCCTTTATTAGTTGAGATAGCGCTAGTAAAAGCTAGCTTTAACGACAAGTTTAACGTCTATAAAATAATTCCAAGGAGAAAAAACTTCGTCAAAAACAAACTTCTCTTTTATTTACCGAGATTATCTGGCGACACTCCGTGTGTGTGCGTGTGAGCTTCCGGGAATTATTTTCTCTCGTCCCCGTTCTCCCCTGCGTTAAAAATTCATTTTTGTGTAGTCGCCTAATCCCGACCTCTGTTCGAATGATAAATTGGAACTACTTCCTCCAGCTCCTTGTAAAAGAGTAATTTCCTACTTGGCAAACTCAATCCTTAATTTTGCAGGAACCCAAACGAACCGCCCGAGGGCTCCCGCCAAGAAAGGAATCGCCTGAAAAATATCGACTGGACCGCTTACGAGGCCGTCCACAAGAAATACTTGAATTTGGGTAAGTGGCTGATCGACGCGTCGCTAACATACTTTCGACATAACGTCACGCACATTTCCCTATTTGCTCGGCAACAAATCAAACTTGTCAAGTCAACGCCGGATCCTAATCCTCCTGACGTTCCTTCCGCGTAAACAATTTGGGAATTCATCCGAGTTCGCGCTTGTATCGCTGATGGTAGTAGTGGAAAAAACGGCGTGTGAATGCAACGCAAACTCCATTCTTCGCAGTTCTTTTGTTGCGTAATCTCATTAAAATCTTTGTTTGCCCGCTAACCGCCTTTTCGACGCCAGTCAATGATTATAATGGAGAGGTTCGCTTTGAAACTCATACAGCTCTTTCATTCGGTAATCAGACGGCCGAATTTGTTAAACAATCGATTTGGCGTGTCAACGTCGAAAGTCGATCGGGGAATTGGAATTTATAACCGAAATTTTAATCCGGCAAGCATTTATTTATATTCAGATTTAGTTACGCACTGAATTAATTGACAGGGAAATACCCAGGGGTGGCGCGAAATTTGTTTTGATGCATTAGCGCCAAATCGAAAATAAATGTGCGTGGGTGGGCTCATCTGGGACAAAAATACGCAAGAAGCCCATTAAGGGTGATTAAATTATTGCCGATTCGAGTCGGATGCAAGGAAGACGAATCGGAAACTTCACGATTCAGACGGCTGTGTACAACGTGTTGTTAATTCCGAAATGACGTTACATTAATCTAAAGTAGGTGGGCTTAAAATATCTGACTTTTGATCCTCGTAGAGTCCTCTCGTTTCTGTCCTGAAATTTTAATAAAATGATTGGTGTTGAAAATTCCTCCACAAAAAATTGTTTAGCATCTAAATCGAAACATGAAAAATTCTTCTAGACGTCTAGAAAAGCGTCACGACAAAGGAACTGTGGATATTCTTACAAACGTCAATTGACAACGTAAAATGTATATGGGGTTTTATAAGTAACACAGTTGTAAGTTTTTTTTATAAACGGTTAATTTTCACTGAAGACTATCTTGATTTTTTTTAACCGAATGGTATTGACAGTGAAAACAACGGACACAAAACAACGAAAAATTTTAAGTGAGTTTGCGAAATCTGTTCATATAATTATTTAATTAAACGACATAAAATAACATCACCTCTAGTTATTACAAAGCTTGTTCTTGCAAAATTACTGCTTATGATGGTCGTAATAAAAATTATTTCTCTGAAGACTTAAAATTATGTCATGTAATAAGAAGTCTAGAAAGCATTCATATTATTCATTCTCATACTTTTGTTGTGTTAGGAGTAGTTTTAAGCATGTACTTAATAGTGAATGTTAAGAAAGTTATAATTTGATCCTTCTTTTCTAAATAATAATCTACAAAGTCTGCATTAAATTAATAAAAAAAATACTCAAAATTAAAATTATATATAAAAATCTTGGTATATCACAAAAAAACAATCAACCAAAAAAATAACAAAAAATTACCTGTAGCAAAATTTTATAAAATTAAAATATCTCAGATTAATGAAATATCTTTCACAAACAAATACTGATGTTGAAAGCTGCCTTTTAAATATTCGGTTGTAAAAAAAACTAATAACACTACAGAAGTTTGAAATTCCATCAAGAAATTAAATTCTTCACAACCTAGACATCCAGAAACTTAAAAATTTGTGAGTATCTCATGCAATGACAAGTCTTGAATATTTTTACGACATAAGGTTGTGTTACATGTTGCCTTTTTTTTTAATATACGGAGTCATCTTTTTACAACAAAAACGAAAACAAATGATTGCTTATACTAAGAAAAAAAAGGCAACATGTCTGCCCCGCCCACCCACCCTGTCTCAATCGTGCTAATTTTTTTTACTCGTCGTAAGTAGTGGGGCGGAGCTTAACTACAAAATACTTATTTTTTACAAGAAATTAAAAACATGTTTATGAGTATCATCTTGTTCAAAAAATACCATGTATATTAAGAGAAAAAAGGCAAAATACAAACCCCGCCCACCCACCCCATCTCTACTGTGATGAATTTGTTTATTTATAGAAACTTAAAACACGTTTAAAATGGTAAATTTTTGTAAAGAAATATGGTTTTTGCAACTAGACTCCGCCCCTATATCTGACAACGAATGAAAAATCATCAGAATCAAGAATTGAGATAAGGGCGGGTATGGGTGGGGCCTAATTTGTGACTTAATTTTTGTCTTAATATAGATATTATTTTTTGAATAAGACGACACCCAAAACATGTTTTTAATTTCTCATAGGGAAATACGGATTTTGCAGTTAAAAAATCATCACAATTGAGATAGGGCGGGTGGGCGGGGCAACCTTTTGCCTGTTTCAACAGCAAATTTAAAATTCCTACTTTACATGAACGCATACGTAACGAAATAGCTACCATTCGACAAGAAATTTTCATTAACTCACTACAAAATTTGATTCAGCGTCTTTTTACTCCCAGGAAGTAAATGGAGCGTTAAGAATTATTAATTTATTTCATGTTTGTTTAATAATTTATTTTACAATTGCAATCAGAAAGAAAGTATGATTCATAAAAAAATAACACTATAAAAAAATGCATTCATTAAATATACTCCTCCCTCTGGGCTCACGATGCATAAAAAAATCGTCACAATTGAAGTAGGGTGGGTGGGCGGGGCATACATGTTAACTTAAAACAGATGACTACGTATACGAAGAAAAAAAAGGCAACATATCTGCCCCGCCCACCCACCCTGTGTCAATCGTGCTAATTTTTTTTACCCGTCGTAAGTCGTGGGGCGGAGCTTAATTGCAAAATCCTTGTTTTTCTACGAAAAATTGTCTTGGTTCACGACGAATCAAATAATCAAACATATTTGTTGCTTTTTTTTCATATACGTGGTCATATTTTCACAACAAAAACTTAAAACAGATGACTACGTACATTAAAAAAAAAAAGGCAACATGTCTGCTCCGCCCACCCACCCTATCTCAATCGTGCTGATTTTTTTTATCCGACGTAAGTCGTGGGGCGGAGCTTAATTGCAAAATCCTTGTTTTTCTACGAGAAGAAGAAGGAAGAAAAAAAGCAGTCCAAAACATATTGTAACGTTGAACGGTGAATAAAATCGACGTGGGTAAAACTCAACAATTTATTTCCAACTAACTCGATTTTACACGACTAACTATTACAGCGAATATGTACAAAATAACTTCGTGGTGCAAATTGACTGAATAATAATCGTTCCCGACGATGGCCTCTATTTAAAGCTAGAGTCTCCTTCTAGAAGTTTCGTGATCCAGGTCTTTCTAGAATCCATCGCGACTTCCGCTTCCAGGCCTTTCTCTGGCGCGCGCCGGCCGCTGTCATCGATGAGTCATACTACACTAGAAGAAACGCATACATGCTAGAAAACCCATAGGCGTCGTACCAGGGCAGCGTATGGGTTTATTTCGTAACAATACTATGCACAGGAAATGTGAAAAACACTAAAACGAAAAAATGTTTTATCCTGACTTGATCTTTTGTGTAAATGATCCGTATTTATGGAAATATTTGAAGTCAAAAATATTCAAACATAAAAAAAATATCTATACATGGTGGAAAATTTCATTTTTGAAAAACTAATCTAAAAATTCTCAAAAAATTCAGGGTTTTAGATCTTCACATGTTGATTCCAAAAATATAACATGTTTAGGATTCCGGAGCAATATTTGCGAAATATTCGGAGTGAAATTCGGATTTTTAAATTTTTTTAAAAATTACCATATTTCAGTAAGCGATTCTAGAAAAACGGTTGCAGTTATCGAAGAAATGAGGCCGGAAGTGACTTCTCCAGCCCGAAACCAACAAGAAAATGTGTTTAGCTAAATTTTGAAAATCGTCGAAAATGGATCGAAATTTGCTTAGTGGAAAGTTTCATTTTTGAAAAAGTCATCTAAAAATTCCCAAAAATTCAGGGTTATAGATCTTGACGTGCTGATTCCAAAAATATCGGGTGTCTGGAAAATGGCGGATTAACTCTTCAGTAGGTTATGTACGGGGGTTTCGGGAGTTCCAAAAAAATAATAAAAAAAAATTTTTTTTAATATAGATTAAGAAAAAACCGTAATTTTTTAAAAGTAAAATTGGCAAAACTACACGGAACAATGACCATAACAGCCAGTAGTCATTAATCGTCGATTATTTTTAATAAAACAAGCTGTTATTTTTCTCATTAATCAATAAACCAAAAAAAAAAAATCTGACTTTGGCAGATGACATAATCTCTAAGAAAAGAGAGGGTGGGTGGGTGGGGTTAGTAGCTGCTAAGATAAAACTGATTTTGGCAAATGTGATACCCTCTAAAAGAAAGGGCGGGCTAGTACCTGCTAAGATAAGACTGATTTTGGCAGATGATGTACCATCTAAGAAAAGAGAGGGTGGGTGGGCGGGGCTAAAATTTTTAAGTGCTTACTTGATTTTTTCGCCAATTCATTCGGATTATCGAGGTTATACTGTATCTATGATAATAGTATATTAAAGAACGAGTTTCATAAGGCAAATATTAAGGCACGAATCCAAGTTTATAGAACGAACGGTGAAGCCGCGAGTTATATAAAGGATGAGTGCCACAATGGCCTTGTAAACGAGTTTTTTTTATACTATTTTTTTTACCGCGCATGTTTTTTCGCAAAATTTAATTGAAATTTGCGTTTTTTTAAATCTGGGGAATTTTGTAGTGGTTGGTGATGGGTTGGTCTGACACGACCCACGAAATATTTGAAGTTCGAATTTTCACAACAACTGTAATTCGAATCAACTCGAGTTAAAATTGATTAAAATGTCTTGTAAAGAAGTTAGTGAAGTCCTTACGCCTCCCGAAATACGGGAAGTTTTAATTTGACATTTGCCACTGACATTCACCTGACATTTCTCGTCATGGCTACCAATCTTACCGATTTAAATTACACCAGATCTATTTCAGAACAACGCTATGACGTCATTTGGGTGCTTTAATAGCTCTATTAGAAAACCAAAAAACGTGCGCGGTAGGAAAAAAGTGCTTTGAAACTTTTTCTAATAAAAACACGATAAATTTGAAATTACCTCTCCATCCAACTAAACTTGCTCAGCGTCGAAAATAACATCCACTTTGTCCGGAATTAAATTTTACAAATGAAAATTAGCGTCAAAACCCTCACCTCCGACGCAATGAAACGAATCAAATTTTTCATTTATGAGGAATGTCAGAGATGATAACCCACTAATTTATTCATTGTCCACCGAGCATTAGCCGTCGTCCCAAGAAGCACCGAATCCACTTTAATCCTTATATTTATATGTATATATTCAGATTCCCCACCGAACGCGCTTAATTGACGCCGAACTCCCGCCAAACTTCCACTGTTCTCCGCCCACAACAAAATCGAAAATAAATACTCTTGTAGATCTGATCGTGATTACTTAATCTTGTGATAAAAGGCGAAAGTTTCAATTTTGCGCGGCGCCCCTTCCCGATCCGACAAAAACGATTACGCACTCAAAACTTGAAAAGCTGGTCCTTTGAGCTTTACACTTCCAATTAAACTTGTTGAAATCGCATTTTAATTATTTGTCGTACGTCCCGGAATCGGATTTTTAGCCAACGACGGGAGTATCGACCCGGCTGTTATTTGGTAGGTGAGCACAGCCTCGGGGATGAGATTAAACAAAACACACGGATTGGGACTGATTTATATGCACAATGAAGACAGGCGGGGCTGCTCGTGTGGTTCCGCAGGAAATTGGAAATTAGCAGTTCGAATGGTCGGCGTTGGGGGAGACATGCGATCTCCTTAAAACGCCAACCTGCCGTCTGCAAAAACCCACACCTTTTCACGACGTAATAAAAATTACCGACGTCACAGTTTGACGCTGATCGCGGTTAAAAATCCCGCCTCTTGGGGCTATGCACCGCAGGCTCACAAGAGGGGGATTATCATCAAGCAGACGTATATTTCACCCTACGGTTTCGGGGCTGTCAACGCGAAATTATCGGGAGAGGGTTGCTAAGTGTGTATCTGGTGGGGGAATCACGCGATATTGGAGAAATATCTCCTTATTAAGAAATTAACAGTGCCGACGTAATTAAAGGGTGGTGTTTTAAGGAACTTTAATGAAATGATGGTGATGAGGGGCTGGGGCGAGTTGGTCGATATGTAGGTCCTGAAGAGGAGAGACGTTCTGTGAAAGAGAGGCGAATATTGAAACGAAACAGTTGATCATTTCTGAACTCCCAGATAAAATTAAAAACTCTTATTAATTTTTGCTCAGTCTAGGTATCCGTGTTGATGCAACTTCACCAGAAAAATTAGTTACATGAATGAAAAATTTTAATTAGGAAATGCGGTTTTCAAAAATAACAAAAATCAATTTACACAAAAGAGCAGAAAATTTTAACAACCCGTTTTAATTAACGCCAATTCTTTAATTAGGGACCTCGTCGTACATTTCTGTGTAAAATAATATTCCCGTCGCGCTTTTCTTTTTCAGTTTAAATATTTGCCCCTTTCTCGCCGGATTTGGCGACATAATTTTTGTCGCGGCCCATTTTTGCCAATCTTTACCGCGATATTGCCTCAGCTCTTAAATTAAATACACAGTCGCACGTCTGCGACCCTGTAGCGGAATTTCAAACAGGCCCCCGTTCGGCTTTATCAAAACACTCCTGAATGCTCCTACTTTGTTAAACCGAACTAAGCGGAGGGCAGATACAACGTTATTTCAGCTCGGGAGGGAATGTTAGTTTAACAATTTATAACCGAACGTGGAAAACTTTTGAGAGGTGTATGTACAGAAAGAAATCAATTTGAAGCTCATGCATAAGAGGCGATGCAGCTTCCTTGCCACGTTGTGCATCCCAACCTTGTACAAACACTGTCCTCTTTTTATTCATCGTGTGTGATACACTGTTGGCCTGTAAATCAATTTTCTATTATCTTTCAAAACTTCGCCAGCTGTTTTCCTTGCGGAGCGAGTCGTACAGAAAGCAGATAGGCTATTTTGGAGACGGAAACTCAGGGTTCGTTCTTATCTCGGGCTTAAACGTCATACGCTTTTCTTATGCTGCAAGAGGCAAGTTTGTGCCTCGGCAGACAACGGCTCTAGGCAAATTGATGTCCTGTTGTCCTTAGGTCGGCCCCGAATTTATTCTACTCATTTCGAAGCCTTTAGTGCTTTTCGAATCGAACTTAATCCCTTAGAGTTACTCAACCCGCTCGAATTAATTACGCCCTTAATTGGCATACTTGGATGTCCTCCCGACACACTCGCGCACTTCGAATTCTCTCTTTTCAGCACGCGAATCAAGCTGATTTTTGAAATAATTAATAAACCAAGTTGGTAGCGTCGACGTGCCTCCACTCTGATATTAAAAGTTTTTTTAGAAAAAGAATCAAGTCTAAACTTTTTAATACGACACGTAACACCCTGGAAATACCTTGTTCCGGCTTAAATAAATGTCCGCTTCCTCCACCAGCTGAAATTTTATTATTTCAACAATTAAATTTTGTAATTAAAAAAAGACTAATTAAATTGTTCTTTCTGGAAAGTTTTGCAACATTTTCGTTCCGGGTTCCGGAGCCGCGGCCCACGAACAGGTGTAAATGCGTCTTCTTTTCGTATTTCTTTCACGACCAAATTTGCATGGGGTTTATTTCTGACGTCTGGGGGAAAGAAACGTGTATTTCTTTCATACAGTTACGACCTTCTCCATGACGACGCAACCCCTTGGACAACCCACGCGGTCTCGGAACTCTCTTATACAGCAAATTTATTAACAACCGTCTGAAAAATACTTCAAACAAGTGCTCCATTCCAGTAATTCGTTATTTGATTTATTTTTAGCGGACGGAGCAGCACCCGTCTGTCCGTGGGAGTTGTCAATACTGCTATATTAATACACAGAGACTGCCTTGAAAAAAAAATTAAGAGCTGTTTCCCTTTTATCTTAACGAAGAACAAATTGCTACAAAATGTTATAAAATACAACAATATGAGCAAACTGAGAACGCGAAGGATCTTCGAAGCGCTTTCTCTTTTGCTTTTGAAAGAAGTTGAAGAGATCTTTGGAGGTTTTGGTGTTGGGTTTTGAAAGAGCTTGGAAGAATTTTAAGGACCCCTCGTGTCTTTTTACAACAATCTGAAAAAATCTTGTGCTCTAATTGTGTTTTATTTTTGAAAGAATCTACAAGAACGGTAGTATGTGAACGAATATGTATTTTAGATTTTAAAAATTTGAAAAATTCTCGAGTTCGTGGTATTTTGCTTTTAAATGTGTAAAGAACTTTGGTAATAATAATAATAAATTTTGTGGGAATGCCCTGATATATTTTTTTTTTTTTTTGATAAAAGTAAAATGAAAACTTATATGCATTGTGCGCAGAAACGTGCGCAGTGTGATACTTGCGGCCGTTTGCGTACGTGCTAGAAATTTTAGTTGCGTCCTCTCTCCACTAGATTTCGTTGTTTGTTGGTTTGCGTCCACGCTTAGTTCGTCCTTTCTCCACTAGATGTCGACGTGAAGTTTGAATGTGTGTGCGCAGGATTTAAGAAAAGTTGCGGAAAGTTTGAATGTCTGTGCGCGGGTACTTTGTGCGCGTGTGCGAGAGTTAGTTTTGCGTGGGAAGTTTGAATGTCTCTGTGCGCAGGAAGGGGTGAACTGAGTTGTCTGAACGCGGGTGCGGGAAGTTTGAATGTAAGTCTGTGCGCGAAAAAAAGTTAATTTGCCTGGTGAAGAAAGGGTTTTGTTGGTTGTCTAACTTGTTTGTTGGAGCATACCCGAGAAAAAAATGTTAGGTGTAGGATTCGAAGCTACGCTCTTCGTAAGAACTAGGGCTTAAATCTAACGCCAAAGACAGCTCGGCCAACCTATTATGTCAACGAGAAAAAGTGTGGTTAAGGTATCGCCGTGAAAAAAATGCCTGGTGTGGGATTTGAACCCACGAATCTTTTAGGGTGCCCAGAACAATTTCGAGCTGTCTTGCCTAAGAGTATCCAGGCTTATGTTGAAGAGGACAAACAGTAGCTAAATAAATTGAATAAAATTAATAAGCAGTAATGTAGCCAGCGCTCCACTTTTGGACCCCTGGGTGAGGACTAATAAAAATTGTAATTAATGTCAGATGCGGGATTCGAACTCACGCTTCCTTTCGAGAACCGGATCGTAAGTCGCAATAAAATAAATTTTAATGTTGTCAATTTTTTTATATAAAAATAAAAAACAGACATAATAAATAGATTAAAACCTAAATATAAAATATTATCAGAGCAGAACAAACATGAAGAATCATCACATGATATCGATTAAACATGTCCATGAACTTTTTTCTGGTGGAAAACCCAACCATTTAACAAAAATTTTTCCTCTGCGCCGGACAACTTTTTCGATTAAATATATGTCTGAATCTTTAATTTTAGATCTCAGTGATTCATATATTCATTTCCAAGGAAGATTAATACGTTTGATACAATCTTAGAGGTATGCAGTATGCACTATTTTTTAAAAAATTAGAAAAAAAGTTGTGAACCCTTTGTGTTCTAATTTTGACAGAAACTAGAACTAGAAGTAAATAACTTTAGACCAGTTTTTGTATCTTTTTCAAAAAAAGATATCTAAAAAAAATTTGCCCAAAATTACAAACCCCATGTTTATATGGGGGAGTTGAAAATGTTTAAAATTACCATTTTTTAACATAAAAATACAACTCTGTTGGACCTGATATAATTTTTCCTCTTTCAGTAACTGACCTGATCTGACCTGACCGGACCTGACCTGACCTGACCTTACCTGACCTGACCTGACCTGACCTGTCCTGACATGTCCTGATCTGATTTGATGTGACCTAACCTGACCTGACCTGACCTACCTGACTTGCCAATTTTTGAAATGATAATTTAGATCTGTTGAAAACATGAACCCTTTTTAATAAGGAATTCCCTCGTTTGCAGATACCAAACCCAAGCTGAAGAACCACTACCGCGCCCACCGTCTTTCGTTCTGGTTGAACCTCGTGCCCGACTTGCACAAGCCCGGCGGCGACGACGTCCCCATGTCCCACCACACCCTCGTCGACGACGATCCCCCGCTGCCCAAGTTGCCGTCTCTCAACCCCCGCAAGCTTCCCACCACCGAGAGCCCCAGCGAGCAGGCCCGCACCTCCCCCAGCGCCAACAGCAGCCTCGTAGCCACCGCCGGCGGCCCCGACTCTACCGAGAGAGTCGAGGAGCTCGGCGGTCTCAGCACCACGACGCATCCCGTGGAGGACGGCTTCGCCGCCTACTCCACCGCCCTCAGCGTGACCATCGCCATCGGCTGCTCCCTCCTCATCCTCAACGTGCTCATCTTCGCCGGGGTGTACTACCAGAGGGACAAGACGCGCATGAACGAGAACAGCGGCCAGCCCAAGAAGCGGAACGAGAACGGGCAGATGCCCAACAACATCTGCGGGGACTTGGAGTCGAGCATCATCGGGGTGAAGAGCGACCCGGCGACCATTCTAGGTGGGTGAGACTGACACGAAAACACCCCAGCAAAAAGCTTATTTTCTTTAGTTGGCTTTGTAAAGGTAAAGAGACGCAAGAAGAAGACCACCAATTAGTTGAATTCAATTCTACATTTAAGTGGTTAATATGTGATGTAGTGAGTCAGTTTTGGCGTTGTAGGTCACCACCACTCGCACCACCAGCTGCCGCCGCCCGAGTTCGCGGACCTGCCGCAGAACAACGCGACGCTGCCGCGGCCGCCGCCGCCGCCCAAGATATCCAAGGCCAACGTGAACACGTTGTCGTCGAACCAAGTGCCCGAGAACCAGCCGCTGCTGTCCACGCACAGCATACAGCTGATCAACACGGGGACGCTGACGAAGAAGAACGTGCACATGAACTCTAAGCAGAACACGATGGAGGAGTTGAGGGTGTGACGCAGCAGTCAGTGATATGCAATAACTTTGCTCAAACGATTTTTTTTATTTCGAGGAGTGCGTCCGGACTGGCGGGGCGTGTTAGTGATGGGTTCGAGACTCGATGTTTATACCTACTTATCTGTGAATATTAGGTTTAGGCAAATCGGCATTTTGACTGTCCACAGACCAAAGACGTTGGCACATCACACTTGATTGATTCCGGTACAATCATGTAAATTACAGGTTTTCGGGGCTCGCCCGGTTTTATATCCTTCCCTTCCGTGATTTACATGGACCTAATGAGACTGTGCGATCTCATTTTGTAAAAGCGGCAGCAAACCAAACGCCCAGTCGGTAGGCGAACGGGGACGACGCCCACGTTTTAATTTACCGAATCTCAAAAAAAAAGGACCAACACACGCAGTTCAGAATTTCAAGGCCGGTTTCGTCGCTTCCACTAGCCTCCGCCGGGATCCTACCGACTGCGCCATTTTTGGACGTATGCGTCAGTGACTTTGCGATGGGAGGTCGTGAGCGCCGCTCGCCTTCACACAGGCCATCGTTTAATCCGATTAGAAAACGACCAAATCCCGACTTTGAAGTGCTTAATTTTCGTCTCCGGGTGACGCGGGCTTAAGTGCTTAATTAAAGGTGGCTCAATAAATTGTAATAGCGCGGAACAGTGCCCTCTGGTGCAATTACTTTCCAATCAAATTACAGAAGACGGCTTTAGCGTCCGGGCCGGATCAGAAAATCGATTACCTTTGACCAGGGTTTCGAGCAAAAAACACGCTCTCGATCTCCCACCCCAAACGAGGTTGTTATTACTGAAATGAATGAATGTTGTGTAAATACCCTAGATTAATAAAATGTTAAATAAACGATTTTGAGGTATGTTTTTTTTGGTCCCAATGACACGAGAGAGGAGGTTTCAAGTTTTATTGATCAGAATCGAAACACAGAATTTTACATTACACTATTGTACAGAATAAAATCTTACGAGTCACTTCTTAATTACAGGTGGTGAGGGCGCTCAAAAAAGAGCCCACAAATAAATCTTAACAAGTCTACTTCTACTTGAGTAAAATATAATTTCATCACTTTCAATCAGACTTTAAAGACAGGAAAACTTTACACGAGAGGAAGAATTATTGTTTTTTTATACAACTACATGATATTAAAAATATTATTTTTACAATCTTATGTATACTTGAAGGGTTTTTCGAAGGATAAAACAGTAAATACTGAGAAGGTACGTCATTTGGCACAACGTCAAATAAAATAAAACTTTCAGGTCGAATGGAAACTTGGAATTCGATATGCGCTCTTATTGAACTATTTTCCCGATGAAAACATTCGATTCGATTAAAAAACGCTCCCGCATAAAGCATATTCCCGTTTAATCTTTTTTTAACGCTTTTATAAAAAGCGTTCCCTATTTAAACGATTTCAGGTGTAAATGCCCCAAGCTAGGAGCGCTTTAGTGAGAAAGCTTTCCACGTTTCGCATTTCAATACGGCTCATTTCTCATGTAGAGTGATGGGAATTAAATGCACACCCATCAGTCTCTACATTGCTGTATTACTCTTTTCGCTAGCTAGCTAGTTGTCAACTTACTCCCTCGTCTTGAACGCTTCCAATATTCCTATAGATCTTCCGTCGAACGACTTAATAAATAAAGAGCTCCACGCCTGTAATACAAATAAAACAAGAAACGTAATAACGACGAAACCTACTCTGGAGAATAAACAAAAGCAATACAACGCTGTCATAACATTCCTCTTCAAACTACAATGGAAGAACTGAATTTTTCAGACGCGTGAAGCTACACCTACGACTTAATTATTGCAGGGGCGAATTTTGTATCTTGTTAAATGACAATTCCAACTTAAACACACCTGTGTTTTCCACTTTTTAATTATAATTAATGGAAGAAAAACAGTCGTACTATTTTTATTGAATAGGATATCTCACTTTTCGTTTCAATCTTTAAAAACAACCAAAAGTTAAAGAACGTAAAATTACATTAACATAAGCTCCCACAGCCCGAGTTTTATTTTCTGTGAAACTTGAATTTTTCCACAAAACTGAGCGGTAATTATTTTATGAAAGGAAAATGCAAATGGAAGCACATGGGTTACTGGATTACCGTTAAATACACATTCAATTAAAAAACCTGAGTATGACAGGATTTTTGTCCTCCGTGCCCGGAATATATTTGAAGTGGCTACGGAAAAAACCAACGGCTGCTTCATTTTACGTTATTTCTGCAAGGGTTTGGATGATATTCAACGAAGAAGAATCAAACTGGGTTTTGTAACAAAATATAGTAAGCATGTTTAAGGAATAACACAAAATAAAGAAGCAAATATTTTTTACGGAATCACTACAAGGTTTATTTTACCACTGATTCTTATAGGGCTTCGGTCAGCGCTGTTTCTTGTTGATTTCGCAGTCTTGAAGGATATTTACAGGTATCTCTCTCTTTAGAAAAATCAATACTGGTAAGAAGTGTTAGCTCAATAACACAAAAAATGTCATATTTATTGCTGGCAATATCCTTCTGAAAATGGGGGAAAATCGTCCATTTGAAGCTTGCTTAGTTGATCAAATAAAATAAATGTATAAAGTGTCTGCGTTTAAAGAGCGAAACGTGACCTTCACCACGTTTATTGCTTAAACTTCTACCCCACGTATAAACAGTAAAATTAATTTTTACATTGTGGGAGGTTTCGAGATCACGCAATTAAAAAAACGCCGTTTAACTTACTAGAAAAAATTCGTTCTCGGCAAATGTACTTCGTCACGATTTTAATTAAAAAAACTGTGACAAAATGTATTTGTACAGAACGACACTTTAATTTAACAAAAATTCAACAACAAAATTTTGGTTATTTTCTGGCCCAATTTACTTTGTAGAATGAAGGATAAAGAACGTTCTTGAAAATGAGAAATTCTTAAAATCGATATTGAAGCCCTACTGTATTTTTCACCAGGTGGAAGTTCTACTGTATTTTGTAAACGGTATCGCTACACATTACTTTAATATTTGTTTATGAAAAATGACAGTTTTATAATGGTAAATGGTAAAAAAATAAAAATTGTCATTACCTGGATCAGAGTGGCCACCCCCTGCAACCCAATAGAGCAAGATCCCGGAGCCCCCAGACGTTACTTATTTTCTCACAAAATGATAAAGTAGTATTAGTATAACTTGGAGTGTATGCATACTTGCTAGCTTGGGCCGACGGCCAATTTACAGGTGCCAGGTGCTAAAGGTAGGTAGAAACAGTACTTACATTTCTCAAAGTTCTTACATTTTTACGATTGTTTTAGAAAATATTGTTAAAAATTAATAATTAATACTGCTTGTAAAGTTCCAAAAAAATAATGTAACCTTACTTATAATCTCGTCACAATTGAGAAGGGGTGGGCGGGCGGTACTTGTATTTTGTCCATTTTTTCTTAATATACCAAGTCTTCTTTTCCCAAAAAGAAACTGAAAACATGGTTAACTGTCCTGTTGTTGAAAGAAAACTCTATACATTAAAAAAAACAAAGATTAAGCCCCACCCACCCGCCCTAATCCCAATTGTGATGAATTTCATATGTTAATTTCTTGTAGAGAAATGAGAATTTTGCAACTAAATTCAGCCCTTCAGCTCACGATGAATAAAACATTAATCCCAATTGAGAAGGGGTGGGTGGGCGGGGCTTGTATTTTGTTCATTTTTTCTTAACATACCAAGTCTTCTTTTCCCAAAAAGAAACTGAAAACATGTTTAACTATCCTGTTGTTGAAAGAAAACTCTATACATTAAAAAAAAAAACAAAGATTAAGCCCCACCCACCCGCCCCAATCTAAATTGTGATGAATTTCATATGGTAATTTCTTGTAGAGAAATGAAGATTTTGCAACTGAACTCCGCCCTTCAGCTCACGATGAATAAAACATTCATCGTAATTGAGAATGTGTGGGTGGGCGGGGCTTGTATTTTGTCTATTTTTTCTTAATGTACGCAGCCTTCTTTTCCCAACAAGAAACTGAAAACATGTTTAACTATCCTGTTCTTGAAAGAAAACTCTATACAGGGTGTTATTGATAGGTACGTACAACAAAATTGACAGTTTTTCGCGAAGTCTAAGAAGTCGGAAAAATTTATTTTGTGTTATCAAAATTATAAGGGGAAAATTAACCCTTATCCAACCGTTTTAGACGCTACTGAAGGATAATTAGGTAAAATTAATTTATTTTAGTAAATCCTAGCAACTGTAACAATAAAACTTTTGTCAAGACTAAATGTTGCTATAGAAACGAAAGATGATCTTTTTATCAGAGGCGTACAACGAATTTGGACATAAATTTTAATAATTTTTATCTGTAAAAGGAGAACAGTTTTACCTGAACTTTTTTTTTACTTTTAGCGCTCATACTTCGAGACCAATTGCCCATTTTATTTTGTACGTACCTTTCAATAACACACTGTATATTAAAAAAAAAGGTTAAGCCCCACCCACCCGCCCCAATCTCGACGAATTTCATATGGTAATTTCTTGTAGAGAATTGAGGATTTTGCAGCTGAATTCCGCCCTTCAGCTCACGATGAATAAAGCATTCATCACAATCGAGAAGGGGTGGGTGGGCGGGGCTTGTATTTTGTCCATTTTTTCTTAATGTATGCAGTCTTCTTTTCCCAACAAGAAACTGAAAACATGTTTAACTATCCTGTTGTTGAAAGAAAACTCTATATATTAAAAAAAAACAAAGATTAAGCCCCACCCACCCGCCCCAATCTCAATTGTGATGAATTTCATATGATAACTTCTTGTAGAGAAATGAGGATTTTGCAGCTGAATTCCGCCCTTCGGCTCACGATGAATAAAACATTCATCACAATTGAGAAGGGGTGGGTGGGCGGGGCTTGTATTTTGTCCATTTTTTCTTAATGTATGCAGTCTTCTTTTCCCAACAAGAAACTGAAAACATGTTTAACTATTCTGTTATTGAAAGAAAACTCTATATATTAAAAAAAAAAAACAAAGATTAAGCCCCACCCACCCGCCCCAATCTCAATTGTGATGAATTTCATATGATAACTTCTTGTAGAGAAATGAGGATTTTGCAGCTGAATTCCGCCCTTCAGCTCACGATGAATAAAACATTTATCAGAATTGAGAAGGGGTGGATGGGCGGGGCTTGTATTTTGTCCATTTTATCTTAATATACGCAGTCTTCTTTTCCCAACAAGAAACTGAAAACTTGTTCAACTATCCTGTTGTTGAAAGAAAACTCTATATATTAAAAAAACAAAGATTAAGCCCTACCCACCCGCCCCAATCTCAATTGTGATGAATTTCATATGGTAATTTCTTGTAGAGAATTGAGGATTTTGCAGCTGAATTCCGCCCTTCAGCTCACGATGAATAAAACATTCGTCACAATTGAGAAGGGGTGGGTGGGCGGGGCTTGTATTTGGTCCATTTTTTCTGAATATACGAAGTCTTCTTTTTCCAACAAGAAACTTAAAACATGTTTAACTATCCTGTTGTTAAAAGAAAACTCTATACATTAAAAAAAAAACAAAGATTAAGCCCCACCCACCCGCCCTAATCTCAATTGTGATGAGTTCCATTTGATAATTTCTTGTAGAAAACAATACTGTTTTTACCTACCTTTAGCACCTGGTACCTGTAAAGCTAGCAGGTGTGCATACACTCAAGATATATACCAATACTACTTTATCCTATACATTTTATTTGTGAGAAAATAAGTAACGTCTGGGGGCCCTGGGATCTTGGACTACAAGAAACCATACGAAATTTCAGTCATCGTTACCTACTTTATTCACTCGAAAATAGTTTTTGGTATTATTTATCACGCACAAAACCAGTCTTTCTGTCACTTTTAGCAATATTTCGAGCTTTAATAACCGAAAACGCCAATAAATAAATGCAACAAGTGCAAAACCACGATCGCGAAATGTCAACGGCGCCATATTACCACAGCCGACTATGTTTTTAAACGATTTGAAAAATTGACTCAGGGGAAGACCCCAATCCGATTATCACGTTTTCATCGATTTGAAACTCGAAAATAGGGAAATGTTTGGTTTTTACTGCACAACACCAATTTATGAATCACTTTTAGTCATTTTTCACACTTTAATAACCGAAAACGACTTTAAATAAATGCAACGAGTGCAAAACTGCGATCCCGAAATGTCAACGGCGCCATACTGCCATAGCCGACTATGGTTTTAAACAATTTAAAATTGACTCGTAATCTCGACAGGTATTTTAGAATATAATCAAAAACGACTCAAAAAAGTAAGAAAAACTTGCCAAAGTGGTGGTTTTCTGTGTTTCGGAAGCGCGTTATCGACAATTTTTCCTATTATTATAATTACCCGGATCCAGGCGACATCCGTGAAACAGGCGAAAACACCAATTCGATTATCACGTTTCGATCGATTTGAAACTCGGAAATGTTTTGTTTTTGGTACACAACACCAATTTTTGAATCGCTTTTAGTCGTTTTTCACACTTTTATACCCGAAAACGACTTAAATAAATGTGCACAACTGCGTTACCGAAACGTCAACTGCCCCAGCCACCTATGGTTTTAAGCGATTCATCTGAAAACGATTAACAAAGACACCAGATATTTAAACAATAATTAAAAGACTAGAATATTGCAAAGTGAGGAAAAAATTCCTGTGGTCGAAAACCACGTATGTTTAATTATAATTAGTACGAATTTTTTCATAACCTATATCAAAACGGTTATTCTGCACACATCTGACGTCACCAGAATCACCACCAGTTTATTCGGTGAAATTTTACAAAAGGCACTTTTCGATTTCGCACAAACTCTTGTACATCACCCCACGATCACGTTGCTTACCTTCAAAAGTTGTGCAAATGTCTTCCTGTGTCAAAAAAAATATATTTAGTCTTCGCCTTATGGTTGCGCCAAATGCAGGCAACCAACTATACACGCATTTAACTCGCCCGAATTCAAATAACTAAAAAACCCACATTACACCCACGCTTGTTGGTGACTATAAAAAGTTAGCAGTTTGAGTTTGTGCCAAATCCAGAAGTGTGTTTTGTAAAATTTTATTTTATGCGAAACTTGGAATTGTTTGAAGACGTCACAGAGAAAATAAAATATGGGTAAAATACAAAGATTAAAAGCAAAAATGGTCCCAGTAGTAAATGTCTGGGTACGTTTTGGCACTTCCATAGTAACTTATTTCTACGTTTTGTACATTTTCAGTTTTTTGTAGAGAAATGTCCAAACAACAAGACACAAAATTGCATTTTTGCTAAGTCGTAAATATAAAAGTTCAAATATGGCGCTCAAACGCTGTCGTTTAATTGGCCGTCTCGACGCACTTTCAAAACTACTATTCGTTTCCAAGTTGCCACTCCCCCTCTAAACCCATGACACAATGCTTGAGCAAAGGATTTCTAAAAAAAGTGCGAATAACAAAGTTGCACTGTAACACAATTTGGCATCTCAAAATCACGTCTCAGTTGAGCTTCAAGGTACTATATACAAACCCATTATCATAAGTGGACAGATACAGATTCAGAAATCACTCTTTGCGGATTATTGCTGCCGACGCCAACAATAACCTCAGGAAAAACCGTGCCAAAACTACAAAATTTGGTGTTGCAACATGATTCGCGGCACAAAGACCTAATTGCAAGAGTTCATCACCGTCGACCTCCGACTGTATCCCCGGCGACTCACCGCCGCCCCCTGCGCCTCGCACTCCTTCCGCACCCTGTCGATGATGTCCGCCACCAGCTTCTCCTCCTTCACCCGCTGCTCCTCCCAGTCCGCCGACTTGCCCTCCTTCTTCTTCTTCGGCGGCTCCGTCGTCTCCACCACCTAGCAAAGCACGTGGTATTGGGAGGCGAAAGCGGCGAGCGGCTGCTCGCCGCTTTCGCCTCCAGCGGTACTAACCTCCTCCTTGATGCTGATGTTGAGCTCCTCGTGCTGCTCCATGTTCTCGGAGTGGCGAGCCGATATGTGCCCCATGTAGCCCTTGCGGCTCTTGAAGAAGACGTTGCAGTGCGTGCACTTGAACAGGGGCGCGGGGTTCACGAGATTGTTCACGTGTAACTTGTACTTGTGTCTGTACCAGTGCGTTCTAGAGGCGAGAACTTCACCACAGAGTTTACAAACTACACTGCCGTCGTGCCGGGTGAGGTACTCCAAAAGCTCGTTCTTCTTCTTCTCGTAGTTCTCGCCGTTCTCGAGCTTGGCCACCATGAGGTTGCACTCGTCGTCGGTGAGGAAGTGCACGCCGGCGTTGGGCTCCATGGACTTCTCGAGCTGCTCCTCCTCGGCGGCCTCGCTGAGCATGCTGCGCGCCGCCTCCGTGGAGATGATGACGGTCTCTTGTTTGACGGGAGGGACGATCTCGACGGTGATGGACGACGGGAGGTTCGTCTGGTTCTGGTTGTTCTCGGGGTAGTCGTAGTATTCCTCTGAAAACAAAACAAAATTGCTAGTTGGACTAACGCAAGGCTGAAATCTATTTCCGAGGTTATGCAAGAAGTTGTGAAATGAGCTGACACACTGGATTTATCTCTTTATTGGGGTTACAAGGGTGATAGTTATTCCATGGCGACGCTTCGACTTTGTTTACAAATTGCTGACCTGAAAGTTGCGTCAGGAAGTTGGATTAATCCGGCGGGATATAAAACGGTAAGTTTCGGATCAAAGCTAAACTCCGGCATCCTGCTGAGCTACTTTCGAACTTCCTCGGGGGGTTGAATAGAGTTAGAGTTCGAAGGTCGGTGGTCCCATCGAAGGACGGTGCGAACAAAGTTTTTTAAATGACATGGCGATGTTTAAATTTACTGGAATTCCGTTATTTTATATCTTCGTAAAGTTTTGGAAACTTCCAATAACAACTCAAGTCTCACTCCAAGGGTTGATTTAGTAAGTGGGTACAAATCAGTTTTCGTGGATAAAGGGCGCAAACGGGACTTTGAAAAATCGCCAAAACTTAAAAAAATTAAGAAACGGAAAACGAAAGTGTAAATATGACATGACTGAGTCTGTTGGCAATCGTGGATTTTTAGTTCAAGTTGGTAAAATCATAATTTCTGGTTGGCAGCTGTCAAAACTGACAGACTGTTGGCATTTTTAAATTTGCCACAATACCAACATAAACGCAAGAAAAATTCACATTTTTATTTAAAAAGTACTGCCAACAGACTCGGTGATTTCTGATCACGCGGTAGCTATTTAAAGAAACTTTTTGTAACCAGAAATGTGGTGTTATAACTTTTTCTGTTGGTAGAACTTGCTATTTCCTAAAAGTAAATGTCAAATTTATGTGGAAGATATTATAGAAATGTCATACTCTTGTCAAACAGCTTGCACAGCGAAATAAGCAATAATCTCCCTAAAGTTTATCAAAATATTAGAAATTTAGTGCGTTTCTTAAGAAAAAACTAAATGAATTTACACATTAACGGACCACTAGATTTTCTCTTTTTTATTTTTTATTTTTACTTAATTTATTATGGTTTGATGGTAAAATGAAAAGTTACCAAAAATTATTAAGTTCGAAAATTATTTTTTGAAAACAAATTCGTTATACAGGGTGAGTCACTTACCGCGCTTTCCTGGATATGTCAGTATTATTGAAAAAACCAGAGACCAAAGTTGTATGGTTCTTAGTAAAATTATTTTAATTATACAGGGTGTTCTATTTTAGAAAGCACGCATCTTTTTATATATTCTCGTTGACTTCTTCCTACACTTTTAAACCGTAATTTAGTTTTGAAATTCCAATTTTCTTGACATTTTTTAGCAATACAATTGTTCATAAAAAAAAGTCGCCGTGAGATTATTTTAATAGGTCTTAAAAATTTGTGAACAGAGTCTTAATATACAGGGTGTTTATGAAAAATCAAAAATATTACAATTTTCAACTATCGATTTTACAGGTTTTTCATTTGAGTAATCCAGAAATTCCCTACATTATCATTTTATATTTTTTCTGTTGGTTTTTCACATTGACAGGTGTTTGTTTTCTCTCCAAACTCTAAATTGAATTTTCTTTCAAAATTATTATCTATATGAGTCCGTATAGCATATTTTCTACATTAAAAACAAGGCAAAATACCTTAAAAATGTTACTTTTTTAGAACTACTTTAAAAACAGGATACAAAACCATGAAATGAGTTGTGTGCTGAACAGGCCTATACCGGGTGTTTGCAAAATGCGGAATAACTTTTCAGTACGTTATCGGGTTTTCGGGAGTTCCAAAAAATAATAAAACAATCCTTTATGATGTAAATAGATTACGAAAAAAACGTAATTTTCTAAAATTCAAATTGGCAACACTGCATCCACCTAATGGGTGAATACCTTCGGCTTGCTTTCTGATTTCTGGCGACTGAAATCCACCCAATATTTTTTTTAGGACAATAACCATAAAAACCAGTCATTAAAAATACAATAAACAAAAAAAACATTTAATAAGACATTTATAAAATATAAACAAAAACAAAACCAAGAAAAGAAAAATCCATTAAAGCATAACCAACTAAACACTAGTTACTAAATTAACTAAAATGTTAAAAATTCCTCCCTTGTGCATATAAGGCCTGATAAGTTAGTCATCAGTAAGATAAGACTAATTTTGGCAAATCAGATACCTTCTGAAAAAAGAGAGGGTGGGTGGGCGGGGCTAATACCTGCTAAGATAAGACTGATTTTGGCAAATGAGATACCTTCCAAGAAAAGAGAGGGTGGGTGGGCGGGGCTAATACCTGCTAAGATAAGACTGATTTTGGCAAATGAGATACCTTCCAAGAAAAGATAGGGTGGGTGGGTGGGGCTAGTACCTGCTAAGATAAGATTGATTTTAGCAAATAACGTATCCTCTAAGAAATTGAATTAAATTATTATAAGAAAAGACATTAGAGACTCCAAAACACTTTCAGATTTTTTCCAAACAAGAATATCTAGAACTTCAAGATTGTTTTAAATTTTTAAATTAAAATAAATAAATTCCACCCTAATGCGCATCTGTGGATGAAAGGAAAGATACTAATATCGTTATTAAAAAATGGGGGTTGGTGGTAGAAGGGTGAAAATTTAGGTACCTGCTAAGATAAGACTAATTTTGGCAAATCAGATACCTTCTAAAAAAAGAGAGGGTGGGTGGGCGGGGCTAATACCTGCTAAGATAAGACTGATTTTGGCAAATCAGATACCTTCTAAAAAAAGAGAGGGTGGGTGGGCGGGGCTAATACCTGCTAAGATAAGACTGATTTTGGCAAATGAGATACCTTCCAAGAAAAGAGAGGGTGGGTGGGCGGGGCTAGTACCTGCTAAGATAAGATTGATTTTAGCAAATAACGTATCCTCTAAGAAATTGAATTAAATTATTATAAGAAAAGACACTAGAGACTCCAAAACACTTTCAGATTCTTTCCAAACAAGAATATCTAGAACTTCAAGATTGTTTTAAATTTTTAAATTAATAAAATAAATTCCACCCTATTGCGCATCTGTGGATGAAAGGAAAGATACTAATATCGTTATTAAAAAATGGGGGTTGGTGGTAGAAGGGTGAAAATTTAGGTACCTGCTAAGATAAGACTAATTTTGGCAAATCAGATACCTTCTAAGAAAAGAGAGGGTGGGTGGGCGGGGCTAGTACCTGCTAAGATAAGACTGATTTTGGAAAATGAGATACCTTCCAAGAAAAGAGAAGGTGGGTGGGCGGGGCTAGTACCTGCTAAGATAAGATTGATTTTAGCAAATAACGTATCCTCTAAGAAATTGAATTAAATTATTATAAGAAAAGACACTAGAGACTCCAAAACACTTTCAGATTCCTTCCAAACAAGAATATCTAGAACTTCAAGATTGTTTTAAATTTTTAAATTAAAATAAATAACTTCCACCCTATTGCGCATCTGTGGATGAAAGGAAAGATACTAATAAGGTTATTAAAAAATGGGGGTTGGTGGTAGAAGGGTGAAAATTTAGGGTTACATGTATTGTTTTATGCCAAATCTTAAAAAAATAAAAAAAAAGTTTGGGTGGGCCACTCTTATCAGTGGTATAAAAAATAGTTTACGACCGATTCTCAGACCTACCGAATATCCGCAAAAAATTTCATAAAAATCAGTCAAGCCGTACCATATCTTTGTACATTCTAAATAAAATGGTAAATCAACATGGTCATGGGCGAGAGAAATATTAAACAAAACTTTTATTACTAGTAATTGTGATAATGAATGTCTTGTTTAGTTGTTAAACGTATCAAAAACCAATATTAAAATCATTATAGCTCCATCAAGTTAATCCACCGTTTCCCAAACACCCGGTATAGTAGTTATGGTACTCAAAGGACCATATAATCTATAACTTTGGTCTTTTATCTCTCTCTGATAATAATTGAGATTTCGAGGACGGTGCACTTAGTGACTCACCCTGTATATAAAATAAATGCCGCCGAACGAAAAAATCGAACGGCAAATTATAGATTTGGATAATATCCAGGTACTATCGAATGAGTTTTGTATAATAATGTTTGTTGCAGCAAATAATTTTAAATTCCGAGTGACTATTAATTTTTGTGATTTTTTTTGAGGTTGGCAACCTATTTAAAATTTTATCATGTTTGTTGATGTCAAAATTGACAACTGTGAGCTGACTGACGTCGAATATCATTCGGTCACCCAGTATTTGATAAATTACACTAAAAGATGTGTATGCAACCAATTATACACACAAGTGAACCGGACGAGAAACCTATTTTACTTTCTAATCAAATCTGATTTTCTAAATAATTCGTTCTAACACCTTTAAAATATTAACTACATACTGTACTTCAAATAAAAAAAGGTAAAGGTTGACAAAAAAAAACCTGTGCACACAGAAATAAAAATAACGAACCAAAAATTTTACAACTGACAAGACGAGACAATAAATACGGGATCTAGAAATGAAAAACATACAAAGAACATATATTCTAATAAATAAAACAACGAAAAAACCAAAAAATTAGATACATCTTGATAAAATTGAACCAAATTTACTTAAGGCTAGCATACACGTACAAGGTTTTAACAAGCTCGTAACAAATTTGCAAATAGGTTTGAGACACGATTTGAAAAAATTACATTACAAACATTCGTTTACCTGCAGTGACTTGCGTTTTAATTATACATACAATTTAAATCCCATCTGTTGCTGTTTATCCACAAAAACTTGTTTAAAATTCCGAACAAACAAAAGGACAACCTTGGGAATATAATATTAATTGTTGTCTGTTCTAGATGCGTCGAGTTTGGCGTTCCTGAAACAATACGGTTAGCAAATTGTGACATTGACAAAAGGGTGAAAATCGTCAAACCTGTCCTGTGCGCAGCGTGAAAGAATAATTAATATTTAGAGGTAGATTTATTAATAATGAAAAGTACAATAAACAAACAATTAATTCTTATGATAGATTTTTGTGAAGTAAAATTACACAAATAGATATAATACAATTTGCACCAAAGTGACACTTTAAAAATAATCTATAACGAAAATAACACAAATAAAGAAATCAAAATATGATACATAAGCTAAAAGCATTTAATACAAAGTAAAAAACCGTAGATAAATCAACACAATTATAAATTGCTTAGAAATGAAATAAACGATCTGACGACAAAAGTGTGCGAATATGTATATATAATAAATTTTTAAAATTTCCTTCTATAAACATTATTATAAATTTGATAACAAAGTTGCAAATGCTTTGCAAAATATACGGGATATTCTGTTCTTAAACTATTAACATTAGTATATAATTTTACATTAATTGCACTTAGTATTATTCTTACTAAAGACTGTAACTGCTTCGTTATTAATTATTAATCAACAGTAACAATCTTACATGGAAGAACAGTGACGAAACTGGCCTCGGCCTAACAAATGTAAAAACAAAAAATAAACAAACAAAAACACTATCACAATGTGATTATACAAGCTATTGCGTTAGATATTTTTAGATATCTGATATCTCGACGATTTTGATTACATTGCCATAATAATAACAATCGATATTCTGTCTCGGGTGTCGCGTTAGTGACTACTGCTAAGAGAAACAACGAGAATTAAGCTTAAAGAGGAATAAAATAAATAAAGATTCTCAATGGCAAAGAATTAAAAAAATATTGTTTTTCATTGTCCCAACACCTAAATTAAATACTTCATAGTTTACTTAATTGATACATTTGTGCGCTGACGGCATATAAAATATTATTGTCTACTCTGTGCAGTCATATTTAAATATTATGTATAAACATTATTCTACATACTTAATGTAAAGGTTATAATAGACGCTCTGTTATGAACAATATTTGTGTAAATGAACTATCCTAGGTATTTGCAAGACCCCTACTCTATCCAAACCAAAAAAAAAAAAAGAAAAAACTATAATAAACTTTAGAAACAAACAAAAACTAGTACGATGTTAATATTGAATTAGTGGTAGCGCGGCGCCGGTCCCGACCCACCTGTGGCGGGAAATTCAAGCTCGCGCGCATGCGTCCTGGGAAATTTAGAATGTCTTGTACGCACGCGCCCGAACTCCAACCACTTAAAGCACCGAACCGACGCCGCCCGCCCCCGAATTAAAAAATAATTTGGATTATAACTGCTTAGCAGTGGTATTACTCTACTTTACAGAGCCTTCACAAGGCCGTTTTTAACCGCTACAAGGTTAATCACAAGAACAACTAACTAGTACTATTACTTAAATTGTACTTTGCAAACCGCTCGAATTTAGCCAACTAGCACCAAGTACGAAATCAATTCTCGCTTATTTTTTAATTGCGTTCCAGCGCAACCGAATCTGAGCCGCGAAGTCTACAACGTCTTCACGGTATTGGAAAAAACCCCATCGGCGGGAACACGACGTCCTTCGGCATGAAACAGTCGTGCACAGTCTTCATGTGGTTTTTCATTTTGTCGGGTCTCGAGAACTCCTTCTGGCACACGGGGCACGGAAACACTTTGCGCTGGTGTCCTTCGTGGTACAAGAACGCGTGCCGCTGGAAGCTGTACTTGTTCTTGAACGTCTTCTGCACGTCGACCTTGGCGCACTCGGTGCACTGGTAGACGCCCTCGCTGATCGAGGCGTACCGGAACAGGTTGAGGCCGCGGACGGACATCTCCGTCAGCTGCTCGGCGGGGTCCTGGCTCTGGGAGGTGGCGCGGCGGCGCGCCCGCCGCTTCACGGGCTGCCGGCCGGACGTGGGCGCGCTCATGTTGGCGGCGGGCGCGCTGGTGGACGGCGGCGTCGTCGTGTTGTTGTTTATGCTGTCGGTGGCGCTGAGGCGGGCCTCGCTCGCCGCGGGCGGCTCGGGGGTGGTACACTCCTGCTTCGGGCTGAGCAGCTGCTGGGCCAGCGGCGAATCTACGGAAAACGAAAACGTCAACAAGGTGGACGAGGCAACAAAAAACGGGACTCCGAGTCGAGTAGTCAAGGTACAGTTTAGCAAAATTGCACAGCCAGAAAGCCATATTTTGATTGGTCTACTTCAAAAAAAGCCAGCGAGTTTCATTAAAAATTATTAGCATTAAGAAATGGAAATGTTCGCAGCTTCGAATTCTACACCCGACTATTTCTCAGAGATACTCAAATGTATATAAATCATCCCAGATCGTGATAATAAAACGACTTAAGTCAGTTTTTGGGTTTCAACTGTCGTGGTTTTGAAGCAATTATCCAGAACGAGGAGGATATTAACTACCAAAAAATAGTTTTCGGCAATTTCAGATACTTCGTTCATGTTCAAAGCCCAATTAGAACTCAGTTTTTTCCGTAAATCTCACACTGTGATTACCATTCAAAAATGTAAATGTTGGAAGCTTCGAATTCTACACCCGGCTATTTCCCAGAGATACTTAAATGTGTCTAATCATCCCAGATCGTGAAAAGAAAGCGACTTAAGTCAGTTTTTTGGTTTCAACTGTCCTAGTTTTCAAGCAGTTATCTATAAGGTGGAAAATATTATGTGACCATTCCAAAAAAATGTTTTCTGGTTTTTTAGATCCTTTGCAACTACATAAAAGTTAGTCGATGTTCAAACCAAAATTAGAATTCAGATTTTTTTCTTAAATCTCTCACTGTGTATTTCCCAGACACACCAAAATGTCCTTTAATCGCCTCAAATTCGCCAAAAATTTGTAGGTTCCTATCTTCTGGTAGTTTCGACCCTTACAGGTACGAAAAAATTATTTTTCTCTACAAAAGTTAAAAACATAATAAACGTCTTTAAATCATGTCAGTTTCATTTAAAAATATTAACATTCAGAAATCTCAATGTTCGCAGCTTCGAATTCTACACCCGGCTATTTCTCAGAGATACTCAAATGTGTCTAAATCATCCCTGATCGTGAAAATAAAACGACTTAAGCCAGTTTCCGAGTTTCAACTATTCTAGTTTTGAAGTAGTCATCTATAACGTGGAAAAGACTAGGTCAACCCTACCAAAAAATTGTTTTCTGGTGTTTTAGATCCTTTGAAGTACATAAAAGGTAGTTGATGTTGAAACCAAAATTAGAAATCAGTTTTTTTCCTTAAATCTCTCACTGTGTATTTCCCAGACACACCAAAATGTCCTTCAATCGCCTCAAATTCGCCAAAAATTTGTAGGTTCCCATCTTCTGGTAGTTTGGACCCTTACAGGTACGGAAAAATTATTTTTCTCTACAAAAGTTAAAAACAATAAACTTCTTTAAATCATGTCAGTTCCATAAAAAAATATTTGCATTCGGAAATCTAAATCTTCGCAGCTTCGAATCCTACACCCGGCTATTTCTCAGAGATACTCAAATGTGTCTAAATCATCCCAGATCGTGAAAATAAAACGACTTAAGCCAGTTTCCGAGTTTCAACTATTCTAGTTTTGAAGTAGTCATCTATAACGTGGAAAATACTAGGTCAACCCTACCAAAAAATTGTTTTCTGGTGTTTTAGATCCTTTTAAGTACATAAAAGGTAGTTGATGTTGAAACCAAAATTAGAAATCAGTTTTTTTCCTTAAATCTCTCACTGTGTATTTCCCAGACACACCAAAATGTCCTTCAATCGCCTCAAATTCGCCAAAAATTTGTAGGTTCCTATCTTCTGGTAGTTTCGACCTTTACAGGTACGAAAAAATTATTTTTCTCTACAAAAGTTAAAAACAACAAACTTCTTTAAATCATGTCAGTTCCATAAAAAAATACTTGCATTCGGAAATCTAAATCTTCGCAGCTTCGAATTCTACACCCGGCTATTTCTCAGAGATACTCAAATGTGTCTAAATCATCCCAGATCGTGAAAATAAAACGACTTAAGCCAGTTTCCGAGTTTCAACTATTCTAGTTTTGAAGTAGTCATCTATAACGTGGAAAATACTAGGTCAACCCTACCAAAAAATTGTTTTCTGGTGTTTTAGATCCTTTTAAGTACATAAAAGGTAGTTGATGTTGAAACCAAAATTAGAAATCAGTTTTTTTCCTTAAATCTCTCACTGTGTATTTCCCAGACACACCAAAATGTCCTTCAATCGCCTCAAATTCGCCAAAAATTTGTAGGTTCCTATCTTCTGGTAGTTTCGACCCTTACAGGTACGAACAAATTATTTTCCTCTACAAAAGTTAAAAACAATAAACTTCTTTAAATCATGTCAGTTCCATAAAAAAATATTTGCATTCGGAAATCTAAATCTTCTCAGCTTCGAATTCTACACCCGGCTATTTCTCAGAGATACTCAAATGTGTCTAAATCATCCCAGATCGTGAAAATAAAACGACTTAAGCCAGTTTCCGAGGTTCAACTATTCTAGTTTTGAAAGTAGTTATCTATAACGTGGAAAATATTAGGTCGACCATTCCAAAAAATTGTTTTCTGGTTTTTTAGATCCTTTGCAACTACATAAAAGTTAGTCGATGTTCAAACCAAAATTCGAATTCAGATTTTTTTTCCTTAAATCTCTCACTGTGTATTTCCCAGACACACCAAAATGTCCTAAAATTGTAGGCTCCCATTTTCTGGTAGTTTCGACCCTTACAAGTACGAAAAAACTATTTCTCTCTACAAAAGTTAAAAACATAATAAACTTCTTTAAATCATGTCAGTTCCATAAAAAATTATTTGCATTCGGAAATCTAAATCTTCGCAGCTTCGAATTCTACACCCGGCTATTTCTCAGAGATGCTCAAATGTGTCTAAATCAACCCAGATCGTGAAAATAAAACGACTTAAGCCAGTTTCCGAGTTTCAACCCTACCAAAAAATTGTTTTCTGGTGTTTTAGATCCTTTGAAGTACATAAAAGGTAGTTGATGTTTAAACCAAAATTAGAAATCAGTTTTTTTCCTTAAATCTCTCACTGTGTATTTCCCAGACACACCAAAATGTCCTTCAATCGCCTCAAATTCGCCAAAAATTTGTAGGTTTCCATCTTCTGGTAGTTTCGACCCTTACAGGTACGAAAAAATTATTTTTCTCTACAAAAGTTAAAAACAATAAACTTCTTTAAATCATGTCAGTTCCATAAAAAAATATTTGCATTCGGAAATCTAAATCTTCTCAGCTTCGAATTCTACACCCGACTATTTCTCAGAGATGCTCAAATGTGTCTAAATCAAGCCAGTTTCCGAGTTTCAACTGTTCTAGTTTTGAAGTAGTCATCTATAACGTGGAAAATACTAGGTCAACCCTACCAAAAAATTGTTTTTGGGTATTTCAAGTCCTTTGCAACTACATAAAAATTAGTTGATGTTCAAAGGCCAATTAGAATTAAATTTTTTCCTTAAATCTCTCACTGTGTATTTCCCAGGCACACCAAAATATGCTTTAGTCGCCTCAAAATCGAAAAAAATTGTTAAGTTCTCATCTTCTAGTTGTTTCAACTCTTCAGAGGAAGTTTTCTAACGTTCTGGATGTCCTACAGATACAAAAAAAAATATTTCTCTCTGCAAAAGTACAAAACATAATAAACTTCTTTAAATCATGTCAGTTCCATAAAAAAATATTTGCATTCGGAAATCTAAATCTTCTCAGCTTCGAATTCTAAACCCGGCTATTTCTCAGAGATGCTCAAATGTGTCTAAATCAAGCCAGTTTCCGAGTTTCAACTGTTCTAGTTTTGAAGTAGTCATCTATAACGTGGAAAATACTAGGTCAACCCTACCAAAAAATTGTTTTTGGGTATTTCAAGTCCTTTGCAACTACATAAAAATTAGTTGATGTTCAAAGGCCAATTAGAATTAAATTTTTTCCTTAAATCTCTCACTGTGTATTTCCCAGGCACACCAAAATATGCTTTAGTCGCCTCAAAATCGAAAAAAATTGTTAAGTTCTCATCTTCTAGTTGTTTCAACTCTTCAGAGGAAGTTTTCTACCGTTCTGGATGTCCTACAGACACAAAAAAAATATTTCTCTCTGCAAAAGTACAAAACATAATAAACTTCTTTAAATCATGTCAGTTCCATAAAAAATTATTTGCATTCGCAAATCTAAATCTTCGCAGCTTCGAATTCTACACCCGGCTATTTCTCAGAGACGCTCAAATGTGTCTAAATCGTTCCAGATCGTGAAAATAAAACGACTTAAGTCAGTTTCAGGGTTTCAACTATCGTAGTTTTCAAGCAGTTATCCAGAACGTGGAAAATATTAGGTCGAACATTCCAAAATTTTGTTTACTGTTTTTTCAGATCCTTTGCAACTACATAAAAGTTAGTTGATGTTCAAAGCCCAATTAGAATTCAATTTTTCCTTAAATCTCTCACTGTGTATCTCCCAAACACACCAAACGAGGCCTAAATCATCTCAAATTAGCAAAAAAAAAATTAAATTCCCATCTTCTAGTAATTTCAACTTTTCAAGGGAAGTTTTCAAACGTTGTGGATATTCTACAGATACGAAAAATATTATTTCTCTCTGTAAAAGTTAAAAACATAATCAACTTCTTCAAACCATACCAGTTCCATTAAAAATTATTAACATTCAAAAATGTAAACGTTGGAAGCTTCGAATTCTACACCCGGCTATTTCTCAGAGATACTCAAATGTGTCTAAATCATCCCAGATCGTGAAAATAAAACGACTTAAGTCAGTTTCGGGGTTTCAACTATCGTAGTTTTCAAGCAGTTATCCAGAATGTGGAGGATATTATTGGACAACCCGAAATATGCCTAAATCGTCTCAGATTCGGAAAACATTTGTTGGTTTTAGTCTTCTAGTGGTTTCAGGTCTTCAGGGGAAGTTTTCTAACATTTTGGACAAAAAAAACATGTCTCTCTATAAAAGTTAAAAAAATTAGATCAGTTTCGTCAAAAATGATTAGCATTCAAAAACATTTCATACATATTATTTTACATTAAGTGGCTTTCTGACAGCGCAATTATTTAATAAACAACCCTATATACAATTTAAAAAAAACTCTGACAACTCGACTCAGAATCCGCCACACCAAAAAATGAGCAACCAATAAAGTAAATCTTTTATTGAAAGAAACCAACGGAACTAAATACAAAAAGGTAACTAAAGGATAAAAGGTGCAAATAAATTATCTACCTAAAATTAAGTATAAAAACAAATTTTGCTACGAGACTAATAAAAAAAGAAAACAAACATACTTGATATATTATTGCCACTTTACCTTCTAATCCTCAGTACTTTGCGTTTAAAAAAAGTCAGTTATAACAATTAAGGCAAGACTAATTTAGGATTTCGTTTACAACGTAGGAAATTTATTGCCAGTTCATTACAATCTAACAATATCTACACTAATATTTAACATTGGTATAGTAATTCGCATTTAAGGGGGCAAAACTCGGGCGAGCCGTAAGTAAACGTCAGCTGTTTGAGATCAACAATATGCCCCGACTGAACCCAGTCGACTGGTAAGCTTCGGCAACACAACACCCTTAAGTCGACACACAACGAATCTGCGAAGTCAACAACTAGGAACTACAACGTCCTCAAATTCAACAAACTTGAAGTATACCTGAAAAGTGTTACAGAAGACCAACCACAACTTAGACAAGTTCCGAAAAAATTACGCCCCCTGTGAAACCTAAAAGCTAAAACAACTCTCCTACTTTTCCCCACACCTACAGATTTATAACAATTGCACCTTATCCGCTTACGATTCCCCATAATAACGAAATTTTGCTCGAA